ATAGGATCATTCTTCGACTTCTTTTGGTACGTCGCTAATATATCTCTTAGGACGTTCTGGAAGCTCCAAGAGTCCTATAAAAAATCATGGTACTCCAGTCGTAGTTGCAAAACGTCTCTCCGTCCTAAAAAAAATCCCTAAGAGACTAATATCCATAAATTTCTTCCTCTCCTTACCCATTATGACAAGCTTTGTAAAGTACCTACAATAATCTTCACTACATCCTCGTGATTATCGAACTTAAGGTTCTTAAATATTTTTTCCCAACTCCTTACTCTTAATATGGACATCATCATTAAAATACTGTACTCTAAGTCTCTGGCTAAAGATATCATCATCTAAATTATCGTTCAATGCTTGGGCCCAGTAACTAGGTCAAACTCCTTCTTGCTAAAGGACACCTTATTTCCTAACAAGTCCAAACTAATGGCATTAGGTTTAGGCTCTTCAACCCCCCTCAACAATAGGCAATGGATCAATGGACTGTTAAATACGATGTACACATCCATGATGGGACCACAACATGTTTTCTTAAACATGTCTAATTGGGTTGAGATCCTGTTTTTTATAAATGGGCAAAGGTTCGTTAACTAGGCAAAAAACCAATTTGCATGGTTGATTTAAGTCTCATTTTCACAGTTCCGTAAACAACAAACATTGAGATTCAAGTATAGAGTTAATAAAGATTTTCCATAACTGAAAATATGAGAAAAACTTTATTCTGCCTTCATCCCAGTCTCGATCTCGATTAGGATCGGGGTTGGGATGAAAGGCAGAATAAGAGGCCTGGATCATCTCGATGCAATTGATCTTGGGCCTCTACAAATAATCACATATTTGGATCGGGGCTGGGATGAAAGGCAGAGTTGGAGAACTGGATCATCTTGGTGCAATTGATCTTGGGCCTCTACAAATAATATCCATATCATCTTTTCCTTCAATCCCATATCAAAACCAATGGAAACCAACTTGGATCAAATCTGAGATTGAACCTAACTTTTCCAAAGAAAAAATGACGATTTACACAATCAAACTACAAAAAACACCAAAATAGACTCAATAGAGTCAAATGGCTGCTTCAAATAACACCGAAAATTAAAACTCTAACTAACAAATAAAAAATATTGAGGGGATTTGGAGTGCACTAACCTTATTGTGATCAGATTGGGAGGCTTCAAGATTGTGATTCAATATGACATGAGATTGTAAACGGTCCGAGATCACGATTTTTAAGGAGGAGACAATGGTGAGTCTGAGATTTGGAGGATTGAAGAGGGATAGAAGAAGTGGGAGTCTAAGACTTGGAAAGTGATAGAAGAAGTGGGAGTTTGAGACTCGCGTGTGAAGGTCTGAGATAGGGGAATTTGACCGATTTGACCTAAAAATGTTTTAGGTTTGCTCAAATGACCCAAATTCAGATTTTTCACTTATATGACCCAATTCCTCTTTTGCTTACAAATCAAGGTCCGTGAAATGACGAAACTGCCCCTGCTTTATATAAAAAACCTACAATGTATAGCTCCAAAAAAAATCGACGGAGATCGCATAGAACTCGACGGAGTTTTCAATATATTTCACCAACCTAGATTTTATTAGTCACCAACCTCTTGTACGATCATTAATGCAATTAGTTTCATTCGAAATGGATTAGTTATTTTTTGTACTTCTCTTCATCCGCAGAGAACAATTACTTTCAGTGTTTGAAACGTGCTTTCGTGCAAGATCCATTGTTTTTTTTTAACCTCGGAAAGATCCATTGTTTGAAACGTGCCTTTCGTCATCTTCAAACGATCAGGTTAGTTTTTTTGATTTCAGAGTATAAGTTATATTTTCTAAGTGTGAAGGCATCATTTTCCCTTCTTTTTAAGTTTAAAAACATTGTTTGCTGGTTTTTGATCCGTTAAGAGTAAGAGAACGAGTTGTATTTATAATGTAGTTTGGTTAATCTCGGGTGAGTTGCATAAGAAACTCGATGGAGTTGTGTGAATCTCGAGGGAGTTGCGTAGAAACCCAGCAGAGTTTTGTAAATTGGTGGAATCCCGATGGAGTTGCGAAGAAACCCAGCCGAGTTTTGTAAATTGGTTATAACATATAGGACCAGAAACAATTAAGCAGATGATAGAAATATAATAATCTGGAAAATTTCCCCACGAATCTCGAGGGAGTTTATGCTCGAGTTTTAACAAGGTTTTAACAAATTTTCAAAATTTTCTCTCAAAATCCTGAGGGAGTTCGCGACCAGGATTTGACCAAGTGACTGAGCTTAAACTTGAAGACTCTCCAGAGTTTTAACCAAAAATGAACATTTTCCAATTTTTCTCTCAAAATCCCGAGGGAGTTCGCGACCAGGATTTAACCAATTGAGTGAGCTTACACGAAGGAACTCCCTATAGTCTTAACGAAAAAGGAACAATTTTTCAAATTTTATCACAAAATCCCGAGGGAGTTCGCGACCAAGATTTAACCAAGTCAGCGCTTAAACTTGAAGGAACTCCTCAGAGTTTTTGAGTTTAAACTGAAAATTTTTTCAATTTCTCTCTTTGAATCCCAAGGGAGTTCGTAACGGGGAAAATTTCTAGTGAGCTTCATACTTTAGAAAACACTCTTGAGTTCGAAGCCTTTGAAAAAAATCTGGCGTAAAAACTTCGTTGAGATGGATAGATAAAATTGGGGCTTTTTTCACCTTCAACCCTAATTTGAAAAACCCATATGAAATCGCCCTAATTAAACCCTAATTTGAACTCCCCTACATTAGATCATAGTTTGAAACTTCTAAATAGAACCCTAATCTGAAATCCGCCTACCTATGTTCTAAATGAAACCTAATTTCAAATCCCCTAGTTCGGAGTTTGCGAACATACTTTTCTCGAAAAAATTTGAAGAACTCGGTAGGGATTCATCAAAACTCCACTGGGATGAAACGAAAACCCAGATTCCTTCCCAGTTCAGAAAACCCATACACTTCTTTTATTTTTTCCACATTTAACAGAAAATATTTAGACACAGGACCTCAA